GCAACACTGTGAAGCACGCCAGGGCCTAGAAAGCCCTCAGCGAATGGCAAAATGTAAAACTGTAAAGTGCCTTGTGAACCGGGACATCCCTGGCAAATGGCAAAATACTTACTAAATTCTAAACTGCTCTGTGAACTTGGACATCTTTAGTGAAGAGCAAAACACTTGTTAAGCTATAACGTCCTCTGTGAACTGAGACACTCTGGTGAATGACCAAGCACTTAGTAATCTTTAAAGTGTTCTGTGAATTTGTACTTGGCCAACAGCAAAGTACTTTGTAAGCTATAAAGAACTTTATAGAGAGTGGTGGTTGATACTAAAGCATTCTGTAAACTGTAAAGTACCTTAGGAAGGTACTGCTTGGTGAACAGCAAAGTACTGTATAAAATTATTTTAAAGAGGAGCTCTGTAAACTGGGAAATCCTCGTTATTGAAGCAAAGCGCTTTCAAAGTTCTAAAGCTCTTTATAAGCAGCAGTGTCCCCGATAAACAGTAAAGCAATTTGCAAACTGTAAAATACCTTAAAACTTCTGAGTGCATGGTAAATGGTAGCACTTTATACATGGTAAAGCATCTTGTAAACAGTGGTGCCCTTTGCAAAGCACTTTCCAAAGTCTAAACACACCATATATGTAACAGTCCTTTGTAAAGGGCAAGGAGCTTTGTAAACTGTAAAGTACCATGTAAACCACAGAGTTCTTTGTAAAACACAGAGCACCTAGCAAACTATAAAGCAGGGACTGGCAAACGTTTTCTGTCGAGGCCAGACGGTGCGTATTTTAGGCTTTGTGGGCCATACAGTCTCTACTGCAGCTCCTCAATCTGCAAGAGCAGCCACAGACAATATGGCAAGAAAGGAAGGGTGGCTGTGTTCCCATGAAAATTGGTTTATGGACAATGAAATTTAAATTTCATATAATTTTCACGTCATGAAATCTTTTGATTTTTTTTTCAATCATTAAAAAATGTAAAACCCATCCTTAGCTCCGGGGCCTGGGGCTGCACAGAAACAGGTGCTGGGCCGGATTTGGCCAGTAGGCCCTCATTAGCTCACCCCTGCTAGTATGTCCTAAGCTGTAAGGTATCTTGTAAAAGACAAGCCTTCCCCACACTGCATAATCGGTGCTTCTCATACTGAAGCTGGCTTCCTGGGCAGCCGCCAGTCATACCTTTTCCCAACTTACAGCACTTCGTCATGGTCACCCTCCCATGCACTTCCTGCTTCTCTCCTCACTGGATCCCTTCTCCTCCCCCAGGTGGTGGGCTCCTCCATGCCGCTCATCGGTGACCACCAGGATGAAGACAAGCAACTCATCGTAGAGCTTGTGGTCAACAAGATGGCCCAGGCCCTGCCCCGGCAGCGGCAGCGGGATGCCTCTCCCGGCAGGGGCTCCCACAGCCAGGTCAGGCCCCTGGCTCTGGCCCTTGGAGGCTAGTGGTGGGCAGACCAGCCCTTGGTCATACTGTGTCACAGAGCTGATAATCAGCAGGCTAAGGGCATCGCCATGATGCACCCGTGTCGCAGCAGTTACCAACTATTTTAAAAAATGATAAATAGCTGCTACCCTGACTTCCCTGAGTGCCTCCTGACCCCTCCCCTGGGAATGAGTCCTGCACCCCACAACCTGCCATCCCCTCAGCTCAGCCACAAATGCGGCAACACCCAGCACACAGGGAACCCATGTCATTCTGATTGGCTGATGCTCCACCAGCTGGTAACTATTTTTAACCTCTCCTGCTCCACTCCTCTGCCGCAGACTCCGTCCCCAGGAGCCCTGCCCTTGGGCCGCCAGACCTCCCAGCAGCCCACGGGGCCCCCAGCTCAGCAACGACCCCCGCCACAGGGTAAGTGAGGGGCCAGCTTCCTCGGCCCCGACCCTGCCGGCAGCCCCCCACCTCTCACTTGCTCGCTCTCACGTGTGCACTTTCTCTCTGTCCCTCAGGCGGCCCTCCACAGCCGGGCCCAGGCCCCCAACGCCAGGGACCCCCGTTGCAGCAGCGCCCGACCCCGCAGGGCCAGCAGCACCTTTCGGGCCTTGGACCCCCAGCTGGCAGCCCCCTGCCCCAGCGCCTTCCGAGTCCCACATCAGCGCCCCAGCAGCCTGCGTCCCAGGCCACACCGCTGCCCCAGGGTCAAGGCCGCCAATCCCGGCCAGTGGCGGGAGGCCCCGGGGCACCTCCAGCAGCCCGCCCGCCCGCCTCCCCCTCTCCCCAGCGCCAGGCAGGCCCCCCACAGGCTACTCGTCAGACATCGGCCTCTGGTCAGGCTCCGCCAAAGGCCTCAGGGCCTCCACCGGGTGGTCAGCAGCGCCAGGGCCCACCCCAGAAACCCCCAGGCCCTGCCGGCCCCACACGCCAGGCCAGCCAGGCGGGTCCCATGCCCCGCACTGGGCCACCCACCACGCAGCAGCCGCGACCCAGTGGCTCCGGCCCCGCTGGACGTCCCACCAAGCCACAGCTGGCCCAGAAACCCAGCCAGGACGTGCCACCACCTGCCACCGCCGCTGCCGGGGGACCCCCACACCCCCAGCTCAAGTAAGGGGACCCCACAGCAGCCCTCGCCTTGCTGCTCACAGAATGCGCTCCTGCACCTGGAGGGCAGCCCCAGCTCCCAGGTTCCTCAGACCCAGGTCCTGTGCACGGCTCCTGAGAGCTCTCTCTCCAGTTCCAGTCTGGGCCAGACCCCTCCCAGTTCACAGAGGCTCCTGCCCTCCATCCCAGAGAAACCCCCTTTGAAGTGCAGAATCCTCCCAGTAGGCCCTGGGAAAGCCCCCCAGCCCAGCTCCTCTCGGCCCACCCCAGGCGCCTTGCTGACCCTCCTTCAGTACTTCCCTGCCAAACCCATCCTCCTCGTGCCCCACCTGACTCCCCCCAGCCGAACCTGCAAACTCCTCCCGGCCCAATCCACAGTCCTCCTCTGTTACTTCACTCTTCCCAGTCGTCCTCATGCTTTTCCTACAGTCTAGGCTCCCTTCTAGCCCATCTCAGTCTCCTCCCAAATCACACCATCCTCTCTGCCTCTTCTGGTCCATTCCAGACCTCCTCTCTTAGCTCCGAAGTCCTCCCTGCCCCACCCAACTGCTCCCCCTTAGATTTGCCCCTTCCAGCCTGTCCTTGGTCCAAGCACCACCCCCCCGCCCCTTTTCTCGACTCCTCACTCTTAGACTGGAAACCTCCCTGCCCATCGTCACCTTTATATCAAACTCCTCCCAATCTAGCCTAGAATTATAAGAGGAGATTCAGCCCAGAACCCTTCCCATCAATCCCAGGCTTCTTCACCTTGGATCCAAGTCCTCCCAGCCTGGCCCAGGGCTCCTCCATTCGTCCTGAGAATCCCTCAGGGTCCAGGCCCGTGCTGGGGGGGTGGGAGGGTCACAGGCACAGCCCCAGGACCAGAGGGGCAGGGCTGGGGCCGGGCCTGGGGTAACATTGTGTTTCTCTCCCCTTCCTCCCTTCCTCTCCCCCCCTTCCTCCCACGCCTCCACCTTGTCTCTCTCTAGCAAATCCCAGTCTCTGACCAATGCCTTCAACCTTCCAGAGCCAGCCCCGCCCAGGCCCAGCCTTAGCCAGGACGAGGTGAAAGCTGAGACCATCCGCAGCCTGAGGAAGTCTTTCGCCAGCCTCTTCTCCGACTGACACCCCACCCCGAGAGCCCCCAAATCCCTGGGCAACCCCTGTCTGGGCCCTGAATCTGTTTCTCACTTTTGGAATCTCATTCCTTGAGAAGCCCTCTCCTGGGTCGCCAAGATCCCTCTTCTCACTCCTCAGAATGCCCAAGTCCCTGGGGAAACCTCACTCCTGGTCCTAAATCCAGTTCTCATGTTTAGAATTCCCAAGTCCTTTCAAAAACTGAGACCTACTTCTCAGTTTTAGAACCTCCAAATCCCTGAAGACCTCCACTCCTGGTGCCCTCAGAATGCATTTTCCTTTCTGGAAGCTCTCCCAAACACCAGGCAACCCCTCCCGGAGCCCTGAAATTCCTGGAAAACCCCACTCCTGGTACCAGATCTCTCAAGCACACCTTGTTCCCCATCAAAATTTCCCAAATCCTTAAGAAACCCCTACCTTTGAGACCCTTTCTATGGATCTCCCATCTCTGGAGATCCACCTCTTCAACTGCCCCCACCCAGCTCCCCAAAGATTTCCCTTCACCCCCCCCAACCAACCCCACTCAACACACTGGGAGCTCCTCCCACTGCTAGGACCCCTCAGTTCCCCAGGGACCCCTGCCCCACTCTCCTGCCTCTGACAGCTGTCTTTAAATATGCAAACTCCACCCATCCTCCCAGAATCCTTTGCACACAGGCCAGTGGTCCCCCACTTCCCCACCTTTGCAGTGATGTCTGTGTCTGTGACTGACGTGGCCTCCTCTCGTGCCGTGCTTGGCATATGTGGTCCTCGTTCATCGTGCCGCCTGTGGTGATGCGTGCAGTGGCGCTGTTTGTGTGGTCCGCACCTCCCCCCAACCTCCAACCCTTGCCTGGACTCACCCTCACCCCTCAGCGGCTCTGAACCCCATGAGAAGAGTCGGGAAGAAAAATAAACAAGCAAAGGCCCAGCAGAATTCTGTGCTTCTTGGTGAAGAAAGAGGGGAGTCCTTGAATGGTGGGAGACAGAGGGGACCCCCAAAATCCACATGGGGTGCTGGGGAACCCCAAAATCCAGTGGAAGGCACATCAGGCACAAATAATTCCAGAGAGGTTCTGAGTGGAATCCCTGCCACAAATCCCAGCCATTGGAGATGGAGGAGCTCCCGAATTTAGAAGTATCGCCAAAGCCAAGAGGAAACTGAATTATGGAGGAGGCAGGGGTCTCGGTCTTCGAGGGTCCCCCAATTCCAGAGGAACTTGAAAAGTACATGGGCACCCCCTCATCTCCCAGGGCAGGGATGGGGGATCCTGAGGCAGTAACGGGGCAGAGACAGAACATTGATTGGTTGGTGGGCAGAGCTCCTTGGCGTGGCAGGTTGAGATTGGCTCCCTGGTGGCTGGGGGTGAGACCTAAGGCACAAGGCGGGCTGCGCTGAGTAGGCAGGCAGGCAACTCATCAGCCTGGGTACGGTGCAAGGAGGGTTCGGAGGCACTCCGCTCAATCTTGGGGAGTGACCGCTGCAGCAGCTCAATCGTGGCCAGGATCTGGGGGCAGGGGTGGGTGAGGAGGGGTGTCCAGAGCCGCGTAGGCACCCCGACACCCCCAGACCCCAGCCTAATGGGGAAGCACACACTCACACACATTGTACACCTCGGAGCCTTGAACACAACACAGTTCACATTCACACCTCAGAGTCCTTCTCCTCAGAGGCTCCCCCCCCAGGGTGTCCAGCCCTCCTCCTCGGCCCACCTGGGGGAAGAGGGGCCGCTCCTCCCGCTGGAACTTGAGGCAGTCAGACAGCAGGCGCCTCATGGCCTTGGGGCAGTTGCTGGAGATTTTGCTGAGGTCCGGGGACAGATAGCCACGGCCCACCATAAAGATAATCTGGGAGGGGTGACAGGAATGGGGTGATCTGGGGGTCTGGGCTGGGAAGCCCAGAGAATTCTGGGTCTTGAGGGACCTGGAGGGCTTTTAGGAGAACTGGGTATTGGGGCCCAAAAGATTGTGGGTATCTTGTGGATCTAAAGATTCTGGGTCTCTGAGGACTTAGAAGGATTCTCTGCTTACAAAACAGAAGGATTTAAGCTTGGGGGAAGTCAAGGACTGTAGGTGTCCGGGGCCCAGATGATTATGGGTCCACAGGTTTCTAGGGGGCTTAGGGGCCTAGAAAGTACTGAGTCTGGGGGAAATATGAAGTTCTGGGTCTGGAGGAAGCTAAAGGATTCTAGCCCTCAGTAGTCTGTATTTCTGTAGAGGTCTGGGGCCTACAGGACTATGGGTCCATGTGGTCTGTATGACTGTGAGTGCTCAAGACCCAAAGACTATTGGTATGTGAAGCCTACAGGATCCTGGGTTTCTGAGGGTCTGGGAGATTCCAGGCCTTGAACCTGGAGAAATGTCTGGGGCCTAGAGTACTGTGGATTCAAGGGCCCTGAAGTCTGACAGATACCTAAGGCCTGAATGGTTGTAGGTATCTGTGAGGATTCCAGAAGTACAAAGGGATTGTTTCTGCGAGAAATGGGATTCTGGGCTTTGGGGACTTTGGAGAGTTTGAGTACCCAGGCCAGAGGACTGTGTGTGTCTAGGGGTCCAGAGGGCTTCTGGGCTTTTGGGGGCCTAGGGGGATTCTGGGTATAAGGGATTCAGGAGATTCTGGACTTTGAGTTCCCAGAGGAGTAGATGTGGGTGAAGGAGGGAATTCTGGGTACGGAAGACCCAGAGGAATCTGGGAATCCTCAGCTCAGAAAACTTGGGGTTTCTGGGGGAAGTGTGGTGTTCTTGGTCTATGCAAAGGTGGAGATCTGAGGTTTGGAGGCTGAGGGGATCCCTTGGCCTGGGAGATAGCAGGGCAGGTGTAAGGCATGGGGCTCACCTGGTCACGGCTGCCAATGTGGCTGTAAGGCAGCGAGCCGGTCATGAGTTCGTAGAGCACAACCCCATAGGCGTAGACATCCGACTGGAAGCTATAGGGGTTCGGGTCCTGCATACGGATCACCTCAGCTGCCTTCAGTAGGCCAGACCGGGCAGGAGGAATGTGGAGGTCAGCAAATGACTGGCCCATAGGCCCAGGGCCCACCAGCCACACTGGGTGTAACTCAGAGCCACCCACACGGGGTGAAGCATGAGCAGTCCAGACACCCACACCTCGGGGTGCAGGCATCCCCGGCCCCACTCGGCCTCCCACATCCTAGCCCAGCAGCCCATGTCCCTATATGCCCCCAGTCCAGCCTGGCCCAACTCACCATCCATAGCACAGAGCCCGAGGGCTGCTCCAAAGGCTGGGCCCCACTCCACCGCGTCTTCACTGTGGCCAGGCCGAAGTCCCCGATCTTCACCGTGAGCCCCTCGTGTAGGAAGATGTCCGCCAGGGTCAAGGGCCACTACAGGGACTCCCAATAGCCAGGCTTCTCGCCCTGACTGGGAGGTTCTCGTTGACACCTCCACACCAGTCATGCCTCTAACCCTGACCAGAAGCCCCGCAATGTCACACAAACTAGCCACAACCTTGACTTGGGTGGGGAGCTCCAATTAATGCCCCCTACACTTGGCCCTCCTGTGACTCCTGACTAGGAAGCTCCTCTAATGGCACCCACACTCACCATGCCTGTGACACTGGTCAGGAGCTCCCCCTAACGCCCTCCACAGCTGCCGCTCCTCAGACCCTGACCAGAGTCCCGAAGAACAGCACCTGAACCAGCCAAAACCCTGACTCCTGACCAAGAGACTCCCATTAAAGGCCCCTCACCAGCCACAGCTCTGGCACCTGGCAAAGGGAAATGCCACATGTGCCCCTCCCTGTTTGCCCCCAGAAAGCCTCCCACAAAAGCCATCCTTCTAAGCCCTCATCCTGTTTGATGCCCCCCACCCCAGCCCAGCCCTTAGAGAGGGACATGTAGATACTGTTAGACTTGAGATCTCGGTGGATGATGTTCTTGGCATGGAGATAGCTGTTGGGGTACAAGCAGGTGTCAGACTGTCTGGGGGCTACCTCATCTCCCCACCCCCAGATCCCCCAGCCCCCTCCCTAGTTCCCGGGCCAGGACGCTCACTCCATGCCCTGGGCAGTCTGCCGGGCCACATCAATGAGCTGGACCATGTCGAAGCGTGTGTCGGCCACGTGCAGGTGGTGGTAGAGACTGGAGCCCTCGCACCACTGTGTGATGATAGCAAATCCCGGCCGGGTCATGAAGCCCATGAACAGCAAGATGTTGACGTGACGTGTCTTCCTGCAGGCAGGGCAGAAGGTATCAGGGCAGGGAGGGTAAACAGCAACTTTCTGAGAATTGGGAATGGCGCTGTTCACTGCTGCCTTCTGCCATCATTCCCACCCTGGCTTTCAGGAGGCTCAGGGCCAGACTATGGCCAGATTCAATGAAGTTGTGAGATATGTTTGCTGGGCTATCATTCCACACTGGGCGCTTATGTCCTGGGCTTCCTCATCCAAGTCTCCCAACAAAAGCAGGAGGGAGAGATTACCCCTCACCCACTACTGACCAGGAGTGTCTTACTCATCAATACCTGCCATACCTCTGACCCTGACCATGACCTGAGCCTGTGACCATTTGAGATGAGAAAGTGGAATGCCAACCTTCATCAGTGATATATCAACATAATATTGATAAATGCTGGGTAAAAATATCAGTGATGTGTGACTATATCCTGTTAACCATGAGAGGCTTAGAGGTAAAGAGCTTGGGATTTGGACTCAAATTAGATCCTAAGTTCCAATCCAGGCTTCCCTGGGTACTCACTGTACAATCTCAGGGAAGACACTTAACTTCTCTGTGCCTCATTTTCCTCAACTGAAAAACTGTGATAATTCTGTGAGCTACCTGACAGGGGTGTTAGGAGGAATATGTGAGTAAATAACCTGTAAGGTGCTTATTAGAACAGCTGAACACAAGCAAGAAGCACCCTGAAAATATCACTGTCCTTGCTGTTATCACTACTGGGTACCTAGGTTACCTGACAGAAACTCTGCCCTGTATGAATGGAGCCACCCTCATTTAGAAGAAAACTTTCATTCCTTATAGAAGTATTAACTGCAGTTACAACAGTAACTTACACGCAAAGAACATAACAACACTCTGCAATTTTGCTCACAGCACGTTAGTATTCTTCACAGCAGTTAGGTTATAGTTCCAATACGAACATAATGCAAATTCACAGCCCGCTCAAATCACTGCCATTTCATAGAGAGGAGCAGAGACTGAAAATTTCCTTACTGTGGCATCCATTATGAGGATGAGTATTAAAATAGCATGAGGAATTATGATAATGTCAACTCTGCAACATAATTGTGCCCACTTGTCAGAGGGGAAAGCCCACACTGGCAACCCAAGGAGTGGTAGGAACTAGGGTGGCAAAAAGGGAGCGCCAGCGTTTCTTAGCACAAATGAGTTAATATAGTATGAATGATATATTAGGTAGAGCAACCACAATCATTAATCAATGATTAAATTATGGTTCTGATTATAGTTCTAATACTGTCCTTTAAAGTATGGTATTGTTATAATTAATAACAAGAAGGCAACATAATAAACATATACTAATGATGCAGAACAAGCAGAGGAGAGGCAAGGACGCCAGGCTGCCTGACGATGCAGTTAACTCACATTATGCTATTGATGTAAGTACCACAGTAACATTAGTGATACCCATTTCACAGCAGACAAATGAAAAGACCCACATTTTGGAGGCAAGGCCATTAATTAATATCAGTATTTACACAAACACAAACACCAATGTGACCAGAGGTCCTCTAAACATACCCCTTTCCCAGAGGGGAAGGGGGCTTCTCTGATAGAGAAGAAACTTACCATTATGGTTATAACACCACACAAACACAGGGGATGTGCAGGAAGTGCCTTCAGCACTGCCTTTCCCCAGAGAGGCACCAAGGCGGTGCCCACCGCCCCTGCCCCCATCCCTGCGCGCGAGCAATCTCACCTGAGCACCTGCATCTCGTTCTTGAAGGCCTGGGCCTGCTCAGCTGTGGGTTGGGCCACCTTGAGCACCTTCACGGCCACATCACCGTGCCACCGCCCACGAAACACGGTCCCAAACGAGCCCGTCCCGATCCTCTTCAGCAGCTGCACCTCACTGGGTGGCACCTCCCAGTAATAGCCCGAGTCCCGGTACCCCAGATTCTTCTGCGGGCCACAAGGGCGGCATCTCAGGGGCCTGCCCACACCCCTCATCACTCGGCCTGCGGTGCCCCCACCAAAGGTGCCCCCTGGAGCTCACCACTTTCTTCTTGTCATCGGCCAAGGACTTCCGCTCCCGCTGCTCTGACGGGGACTTGGAATGTGGGGACTTCCTCCCCGAGGACATGCTGGCTGGGCTGGGGCTCCCCCGGGGGGTTCCATCGCCACCACCTCTATTCCCAGCAGCTGCAGTTGCGGAGAGGATGTGAGTGGAGCCGGGTGGGGTGGGGTGGGGGACTCAGGGTGCAGGTAGCAGGGGGCTCACCGTCAGTGTTGAAACTCTGGGCAGGGAGCTGGAAGAAGAGGGCTGGGCATCAGAGAGAGTACATGGAAGACAACAGGAATGGCCCTCCCCTCTGCCCGGTGCTCCCCTGTGACCTCCCGCCTCAACACCAACCTGGATGAGGCCGGAGTCCATGGGGGCCGTGGTGCTGACCATGTGGACGTTGGGGGTAGATGTGGAGCGGATGCGCTGGAGGGGGGCGTTGGCCGGGGCAGAGAAGGGGAAGTGCTTGGGGTCGCGGTGCTGGGTGCAGGAGCTGGCAGGGGAAAGGCTGTGAAATCACTGTCGAGTGAATGAGAAAACCAGTAGAGCTGCCACCACCGCCCACGCCCTGCCCCGTCCTAAGTGTGTGTTTAGCTCACACAGAGTAAACCTCCACTGTCATTACTATTAAGCATTTGTTCAAGAAGCGTTGACTGAGTGCCTGCCATGTGCCAGATACCATTCTATGTAGTGGAAATAAAACTGTGGACGAAACAAATAAAGGTTCTACACGCATGCTGATTTGAACTGTACTAAAATTTTAAAATTAAAAAAAAACAAATAAAGGTTATTGCCCTCATGGGGCTGACTGCAGCAGGAAAAAAGAGAAATAAAAAACAAAGAATATTTAATATGTCCAATGGTGATAGGTGCAATAAAGCAAAAACTAAAGCAACATAAGGAGACAGGAAGTGTCCCTGGTGATGTCAGGAAAGGCTTCTCTGAGCAAGTGCCATTTGAGCAAAGACTTAAAGGAAGGACAGCAAGCCATGCAGATAGTGGGGGAAGAGCAATATATAATATTGTATAACTATATGTACTATTCAAATATATTATGTATTATATAACATACAGTATGTTATCTATATTAAAATTACAATGCTTTACACATATTATAATAATGTTATATGTTATACATACACATCTGTTATACATGATATATACTAAATATATTATAATGTTACAAAAATATTTCTTAATGGTCCCTTCACTATCCTGAAATGCTATTCATAGATAATTTATTCACATATACCCATAATTAAAAATAACATAATGCTCTAACTTTACTATTTCATACATTACATAAAAATGTTTGATGTTCTACATTATATGAAAATATTATCAACATAACACATAATACAATAGCATAAATATATCATATAAATATTGACATTATAAAATATAGATATATGAAATGCATATCATATGAACATGATATATTAGAGCAATAATATATTTCAACATTGAAATTGAAAGGGAATTTACGATAAAATAATATGTATTTCAAAGTGGAAAGGCTTGAGCATGGTTATAATGGAAGAATTAACTAAGTAGTTAGATGCATATATATAGATATATATTATAATTAATAAGAACTTATCTTATACCAGATCTTGTTCTAAGCATTGGACATGTCTTAACTCATTTAATCCTCACCAGAACCCTATGTGGTCATTATCTGCTCTTTACAGATGAGAAAACTAAGGCCCAGAGAGATTAGAGGACTCACCCAAGGCCCCAGAGCTCCATGCCCTTACTCACACTTGTAGGTGCTAAATAAATGTTCATGGAGTAAATAAATGAATTAAGTATGGCTTGTACTCTACGGAGGCCTCCAGATCTTCTTCTTCTGACAGCAGCCCTTCAGCTAAGGCGTTCCCTACCTGGGACCCTGAGGGGTGAGTGGCTCATTCAGGGGGCGGTTCGAGGGAGCCTCATGCTGTCTGGAGCCTCCGGACAAATCTTGGACACTGTGGTAGAACCTTGAGGGCATTCAGGGTGTAAAGCAAGGGAACATGGGTCAGCTGTCTATAAGAGCCTTGTGGCTGGGCCTCTGTCCTCCCCATCCCCCTGCCCACCCCAGGCCAGGCTCACTGTCGGCGGTTGGTACTCATGTCAACACAGACTGTGGGGACCTTGGAGGAACAATGCTGGTGGAACTTGTATCCACAGGTTTGGCAGCGGAAGCCATGGAACAGAAACTTAAGGCAGAAGTCACAAAAGGCCAGGCTGAAGAATGTCTTCCGTACCTGCTGTCACAGAGTAGAGAAGATTGGGGCCTGGTCAGGGACCCTCCCGCCACACCCACGGTCTGCCCCCACTTTCTACACTGCACTCACAAAATTGTGCATGGTCAGGGGGACGTCTTCAAGGACCTCCACAATGAGCTCCTCGCCATCCAGGGGTGCAATGGCTGTGTCCCAGGCGGTGACTGTCTTTCGACTGCAGAAGGCATGGAAGGGAGTGAGTGGGAGGGTGGACGGGGCCATGGGGAAGAAGGGAACCCCCCAAAAGTCCCTCCAAGATTGCCATCCATGCAATAATAGATGGCATGTTTCATTCTCAGTACAGCAACTCTAGGAACTAGTACTATCCTTGCCCCCATTTTACATATGGGGAAACTGAGGCTCAGGGGGATGAAATGACTTGTCCAGAGCCACAAGGGATTGTAAGTGGCAGGACAGTACGAAGAGTCCATGCTCTTAGCCATAAGACGAGGAGCAAATGAGACTGAAGAAACAACTAAATCTTAGAAGTCCTGAGCAAGCCCCCAACAAAGCAGCTGGTGAGGCACTGAAATAACAAATAAAAAGCAATGCGTGAATTGAATACAAAAAAGTTAAGGAACTCTAAAACAGAGGAATAAATGGAAGGTCAGCGAGGCCCACACAGCAGACAGAGAACAAGGAAACGGAGGAAGGAGAGGGCTGACAAATTGATAAACAGTGAAAGATGAAACAGATGAATTCCAGGAGGACATGACGGAGCACGGTGAGGATTTGGGGTGCAAGAAGAAAATGAGCTGCTGACCTTACAGGCCAATAAACTAATGAAGTAATGAGACAAAAGCTGGATGCACTCACGGATTCACTGAATGAAGGGAAGACTAACGGAGACTGCATAGCAGAGTGGAGAGTCGCATGACTCTGAGGAGGGGCTGGAAGGCTGCGCGCCCAGTTGGAGGTGGCGGTGCCACACTTACCCCTTGATGAGCCGGTAGACCACACAGCAATCCTGATTGAGTCCCCGCACCTTGAGGGCCTTGTCTAAAGAGTCGTAGACACTCATGCCATCCCGGACAGTCACCTGTGTGTGTGTAGATGTGAGGAGTCAGCGCTCAGTGGGGTCCCCAGCTGACTCTCCCAGCCCTTGTCACCTTTCTGATCCAAGATTTACAACCAGGTCCATGCCTACCCCTTGCCAGTTTTGCTCCCGTCAGACTCACCACTGTGCGTTGCTTGTTGGGCAGGTACACTTTGACAGTGCCCACTGCCCGGGATGGCTCGGCCCCGTTGGCAGGGGGGGCCCGTGGTGGCTCCATGGAGCCTAGGACTTTGTCAAGACGGGCTAAGGTGGGGCTGGGCAGGTGCCATGGGGCTCCTAGAAGACAGAGGGAAAATTCAGAGGTCCCATAATGATGGTCTGGAAGCAAAGTGGCAGGGGACAAAAATTCAATCTCCCAGCTCCACGTCACCCCTTGTAGCCTAATTTCCACACAGCCCAAGGGATCCAGTTCCTCCTCTGCTCAGCCGCTCCTGTTGTCTGTCTCACACTTAAGTGCCAAGGTCTCGGATTCACTGGGTAGGGCAGGGTGGGGTGGGGGGTAGGACATAGTGAGAGGTACACACACTGTCCCGGAGGGCACAGGAGCACGTAAGTCTCCGTGCTAGGGACTAACAGGGAAGTCAGCACGCACTGCACTGGGGCCTGTCAGGTACGTAATGGACATGAACAGGCTGCCCTGGTTTTCTAATGGAGAAGGGGGTTCAGATGTTGTGGTGTGGGGTGAGTCACAGACAGGGTGATGGGGAACTAACAGACGATCATCAGATACTGCCCTTAGTTTGAGGGAAATGGGAATTGCACCAAACAGTGCTCGTAAGGGCACTGTGGGCATCCGAAAGCCCTGAACTGTAATGATGGTAGGTTCATGGATACTGTGTTAGGTGGCTAATGGGAGTCACCAGACTGTGATGGGGAGTTCATAGAGGCTCAGCAGACACTACGCTGAGGGGAGATGTAACAAGGGTCACTAGGGACTGTAATGGGAAGAAGAGTGGATAACGGGTGTCACCAGACACTGTCATGGGGGAAAGGAGGGTAATGGAGCATCACCAGACATGGTTGAAGTGAGATAAATGGGGGTAAAGCGCGGGTGGGGCGGAGGGCGCTCCAAAATTCTCCCTGACAACTAATGAAAGGGTCGCAGTTATGTTACTGGTGATAATAGAAGGAGGCTGGGGAGGGTTAAAGAGGAGGAATGGGGGAATCCTCAAACATTCTCCTAGTGAGCTAGACATTGATCCAGAATAAGGAAAGCGAGAAGTGAGCTTCGTCTTCACGAATTCCCCGTTGTCGGTAAGCAAGGGTCGGGTCATCAGATACCTTAAGGAGGTTAAGAGGGACTGCACATGACAAGACACCACAGCCCAAGCCCCATTCGGCCTGGCCCCGCCCACGGAGGGCCTTCCAGCTCTGCGCAGGCGCGCTGCCACGCGCGACGGGCGAAACCATCCCCCGCAGCCTTGCACCCCTATTCCAGTCTACCCCCCC